AAGAACCTATGCTCACATGAGATGGCAGCACTGCAGGCGGCAGCTTTACGCACAACACCACAGTGCCAGCCGCTACTTGCTTGCTTTTTGTATTTCTCAGCATTAGTTTAAAGCAGATCATTTTGAACTGTTTCACAAGTATATCAAAATTATGTTTCATTTTGTGCATTTGTGTGTTTGCGTCAACATTGCTGAAGTGCCTTTTGGAGAAATTTGGGGCAACGGAACTAAAGAAGGTAAATCCAATGCCATGTTACAATCAACCATTTCCACAGAACAGAATTATGTCAACTTAAACCACGAGCCACTATTTCTTTAAGATTTATTTATTTTTATTGGAAAGGCAGATACACAGAGAGGAGGAGAGACAGAGAGGAAGACCTTCTGTCCACCGGTTCACTCCCCAAGTGGTGGCAATAGCCTGAGCTGCACAGATCCGAAGCCAGGAGCCAGGAGATTCTTCCTGGTCTTCCACGCGAGTGCAGGGTTCCAAGATCTTGGACAGTACCCCACTGCTTTTCCCAGTCACAAGCAGGGAGCTGGATGGGAAGCAGGCAGCTGGGGTTAGAACAAGTGCTCATATGGGATCCCAGCACTTGCTAGGCAAGAACTTTAGCACTTGCTAGGCTACCAGGCCCAACCCCAAGTTTTAAAAGACCATTCCACCCAGACTGTTTTGCAGAAATAATTTAGTTGTGCTTTACTGTCAACTGAAAAGCATTTTGCTTTTCCTTGGTTGTATAACTGGGTTAAAACGCAGATGCAGACACAAATTCTTTCCTGACAGTTTGCAAAGGGTGTTTTCAGATAGCAACAACAAGTTAGCACAATCTATTCAGTTCTGCCTTTGAGTCTGAAATTTAAACTTATCATTCATGCCTTACACGTCACTTATTTTCTTTTTTATGGAGTACCATCATTTTCAGAGGATTGAAACCATATATAGCGAGTAAGAAACTGACCATTCATCAAGCGTTCAGCAGTAATAGAATCTGGTTTTCGCAACAATTGAAATAGACATGTTCCGATCTACACTTATTTATTTTCGTGTGTTCTCTATACCTGACTTTTAATTCTAAATAATATAGTCTAAATTTGATCCATATCATTGCCAAAACACTAGCACGATTGCAAACATATTCCTCTAAGGAAATGGCACCTCCACTTCCAATGACTTTATTAACATTATGTGCATGCCTTTTGAAAATTAATTATTTTTCAGTTCTGTTCCCTGAGTATGCTTTGTACTTCCTTTCCTTTCCAAATATCCTGAATTCAAGGTCTCCCAACCTTTGGAGCAGTTGTCCAGAGAAGAGAAAGGCAACAGCCCCGCCCCCAACCCTTGGGAGCAGAAAGGAAAAGAAATATCCCAAAGAATTGTTTAAAACCCCAGCTGAATCGGACAAAAATAAAACCATGGATACACAGGTTGATGTCCCAATGGTCCAGAATTTAATCCTAAATAAGCAATAATTAGTTTAGCCTTAAACTAAACCAGTTTGATGAACTCAAATGCCCTCGGCTCAATAGGCAGGACTCTCCGAGGAGCCTGTGTTACTTCCCTCACTTAAGTGCAGATTTGTAATAAAAATCTTAATGCTAGCAACATGCTTTTTGGACATATAATAACCTAACCACTTGGAGAAACAGCTTTTGGAGGTCAGAAAACTCTACAGTGAAAGATCAGTCTATAATTTAGAAAGAAAATAGAAAGTTTTGTTTCTTTGAGTTGAAATTTGCCGAGCACGGCGAGAAATATTGCCAGTTTTTGGCACAAGGTGTGGTGCTATCCGCAGTATTTGAGATCTGCGTGAAGCCTGAGGCTTCGAGGATCCTTATCCATGAAAAACCGAGCAATTCGGTGCAGAGAATTTTGATATTTTTGGCTTTTTTTGAGGTGTAACAAACACAACTCGGGATCCGAGAGGACACTCTGCGGCTGCCAGCGAGGCGGGCTGGACAGCGCACCAATCACGGTGCAGCTCCGCCCTATATAAACGCGCGGGCGCAGCGCCGCGGCCCGAGTCCCGGCCAGTGTCTCTGCTTCCGGCTCGAAGTGCTCTCCTCACACCCGCCCTCATCATGTCCGAGACTGCGCCCGCCGCGCCCGCAGCTCCGGCCCCTGCCGAGAAGACCCCCGTGAAGAAGAAGGCCCGCAAAGTATCCTTCGCCCCCCTTCTCATTCCATTCTACCTTTTCCCCTTATATCTCTCTCCACACCATTCATCTTTCTCCCAAATCTCTCCTCTTTTACACCCTTTCCTCTCACATCCTTTCATTCTTCTTTCTCCCTATTATTCTTCTCCCCCTCCCTCACCCTCATTTTACCATCTATTATTTCTTTCCCCATTACTCCCCCTTTTTTTCCACCTTCTATTTCACAACACTACCCCTCCTTCTTAACCTTTTCCTCCTCCCCTACTCATTCTTTTTTCCCCCCCCCTCTAATCTTTATTTCTCTCCCTCCTTACTCTATTACCTCCTCCTTTCTCACCTCCTCCCCCCCATCCCCTCCCTCCTCCTCTTATTCTTCTACTCCTTCCCTCTTACTCTTCCCTCTTCCTCCCTCCTTCTCCCTCTCTCCCTCCCCCTATAATATCCTCCCCTTCTAACCCCCCTTCATCCCCCCCTCCTTCACCTCCCCTCCTTTTTTCCTCTCCCACCCTAACAAATTCCATCAACACATCACCCCCCATTCAAAAACTCTCCCCCCCTCAACCATTCCCTCTCATAATCCCCACAATCTTTTTATTATCTTTCTTCATCAATTTCTTTCTTTTTCTCTATTTACCCATTCCTTTATTTTTTTATTAATTTACAATCTTTAAACCCCTTCCACTTTTTTATTAAATCCCTCTCTCTTTTTCTAATTATCAATTACAATCTCCCTATTTATAATATACAAACTCTACCTTTTCTATCAAACATCATTTTAATAAATTATCAACACCACTAAACTCATCATATATACAACACTTTTTCCAAACAATCAAACTTCATTACAAAAATCACAATAAATTATAAACACCCACACACAATAAAATGTTTAAAATGGCCCCGTCTTGCATAAGGTTAACCAATAATCAATCCGTTTCTAAAATACACTTCCATATATATTTGCTTATTATAACAGCATGATAGCCAATGAAAACCTAGATTCGTAAGTGTCGTTTGGATTCGCATTTGTGACGACACACTCGACCTTAGCCCAATCATAAGCGAAAATTTACAATCCTCATTTGAATACCGCAGCTATAAATGAGTGTGGCGTTCTCAGCCTGATTATTTTCTCAGGTGTTGCTTACTGTCGCAATATTTAGGGTTACAATGCCTGAGCCAGCCAAGTCCGCTCCTGCCCCGAAGAAGGGCTCCAAGAAGGCGGTGACCAAGGCGCAGAAGAAGGACGGCAAGAAGCGCAAGCGCAGCCGCAAGGAGAGCTACTCGGTGTACGTGTACAAGGTGCTGAAGCAGGTGCACCCGGACACGGGCATCTCGTCCAAGGCCATGGGCATCATGAACTCGTTCGTCAACGACATCTTCGAGCGCATCGCGGGCGAGGCGTCGCGCCTGGCGCACTACAACAAGCGCTCGACCATCACGTCCCGGGAGATCCAGACGGCCGTGCGCCTGCTGCTGCCCGGCGAGCTGGCCAAGCACGCCGTGTCCGAGGGCACCAAGGCCGTCACCAAGTACACCAGCTCCAAGTAGACTCTGCACGTAAGCGTCTTTATACCTAACCCCAAAGGCTCTTTTCAGAGCCACGCATGTTTTCAATAAATGAGTTGTAATTCTCAATTTTGGATTTCACGTACCAGATATATTACGTTCATGCTACCAACCAGTTGATATATCACTGCTGCGTAAGAGCTACTTGTAAGAAAATAACAAAACCAAAGATGCAGAGTGCTCACTCTGGGAACATTCTGCATAGCCATTGTCTGAGTACCAGAAAACTATAGAAAAGAGTAACAACTGAAAGTGGTTTCAACTTGTCATCTGTGTCACATTGTCTCTCTCAGTGCGCCTTACAGGTCTGAGGGATGGTGGAAAGGACTTATGGCAATTTTTAATGACGCAGAACAAACAGCAACAAAACAGTCTGAGTTTTTCGGTTCATCTAAGATGAAATCAGTAGCTATTGTTAATAGCATCTACTCAGTATTAAACTACTAACCTTTCTTTCTCTTAATGTTTTTCTGGTTTTTTTTTCTTACTCCTTTTTATTAAACTATTAGCCTTTGTATTATCTCAAATGGTGTGCAGTGTAATGATTTTATTAGCTCTATCTGCTGCACATAGGATTAGAACAGGAGAGTCCTTCAGCAACTGCGGATTCAGTTCTAAGGGTAATTATTCATTGCAGTACTTAAAAGGCTTTTATGTGACGGGATTTGAGAAATAAATTGTTATTGTTAGTTAAGTGAAAATAGATAAATAAAGAAGTTGAGAGCTCCCACACAAGCCTCCCAGGTTGCCCCTGATGTTGGCCTGGGGTTTTGTACTGAGTGAGCAACAAAGCACAAGCTTGATGAAACCGCCTATTAATGTTCAGGTCTTCTCTTCCCTTTTCCATTATTTTTCCCCCCAATATGTAATACTAAATGATGGCTAAAAACAGTGTTTCACCACAGAAATATTATAAAGGTTTTCTGATTTAATTACATTGTAATTGTGCTTAGCTTGACACTGAGCTGGTGAGTAGGGGGAGCAAGATGGTTTGCGCAAAATCCAATTTTAAAATGCTTTGGATAGGGCCCAGTGTGATAACTTAGTGGCTAAGGTCCTGGCCTTGCACGTGCTGGGATTCCATATGGGAATCTATTAGTTTCCCACTTGCTGCATTTCCCTTTCAGCACCCTGCTTGTGGCCTGGGAGAGCAATAGAGGACTGCCCAAAGCCCTGGGATCCTGTGCCGGCATGAGTGACCGGAAGCAGCTCCTGGTTCTTGACTTCAGATCAGCTCAGAGCTGAGCTCTGGCCATTGCAACCACTTGGGGAGTGAATCAGTGGATGAAAGATCTTTCTCTCTGTAAATCCGATTTTCCAATAAAAAATAAATGATTTTTTAAAACTGCTTTGCATAAAGGGAGACACCTAATGAGCCATTTGTTTTAAGATGTTTGTCTGCAGTAATCCAAATTTTATGTCATCTAAGACCCATTTTTCAACATGGTTCACCCCCTTCCTGCATGTAGGTCCTTAGTGCCTATCATGGAGGAAAACAGAGGAAATAACTCATTCTGGCAGGAGATGTGTTTGTTCTGGCAAGGGAGGTGTTTGTTGCACAGAAGTAAGATGAGGTGGTAAAAGGTTGTTGGTGCTGGGTTCAGGAACGCTGGACTTGGAGGTGGAGGATCAGACCGGATGAGGGAGGAATGAACTTAGAAATCCTGATGTGCTCATCGGCACGAATAAATATGGACTTATGAATTACAGAGGCACATCTGTCATAAGGAGCATGGCACCTGTTGGACAAATAAAAACCTCGATTTTTTTTATTAGTAGTAGTATTCTTAAGAAGTAATGGAATATGACTAAAATAAGGACTTGAGGCTCACAAATTTATCCGCATAAAATCCCAGTAGAGATGACTTTTACCTGAATGTACAATAAGATTTTTAGGGTGTTATATGGAGTCTAATCATGGTGTGGCAGCTGATAAATCTGGACCACTACCACTGCAACTGGGGCAACAAGCCAAAAGCCCTCTCCTCATGTCCAGAAGTGAGCCCAGGATATACACAGAGACCCCTGCTTGCTCCTAAAGTCACCTGTGAACCTTGGTCCCGAATGTGGCAGAGTCTGTCACTGAGATCTGAACTATAAGCCAGCCTTGATTTACTGTTTCCAGAATTCATACTACATAAAATAAAATGTCACAGCTGAAAATTTAACTTAACCTTGTTCCAGGCTGATTTCCTGTCCCTGAGCACCTGATAGAAGGAAATACAAATCACCTCTAAAGGAACAAGGTTTAGTTTAGGCCTCAAAAATTCTCAGACTATCAAAGACAAAACATAAACAGCTTCACAATCAGAAGTAACCAAAGATACTATAAAACCAGAAGGAATAAATGAGAGCAATGGGCACATGGCAACAAAAAGAGTTAAACAAAACAAAACAGAAAAATGAATACAAACTTCCAATGGCTCACTTCAGCCTCTTAGAGGCTTTTCAAAACATGCTGAGAAACTAAAAATACAAATGAGCACACAGCTCTGACAAAAGAACCAAATAGAAATTCTAGAAAATAAATATTCATATAGAATGACAATGCAAAATTAAAAGTAGAAGCTTACTGTCTGGGTTGAACAGTGAAGTTGGACTCAGAAGAAAAATTAATTGTGAAAACTTGTTTTAACTAGTTATGACAATGCACAGAGATAAATGTACAGGTAAGTTTAAGAGAGCTGGCCTTGATAGTAAAATAATCTGATGTGCATGTAATAGTATGAGAAAAGAAAGAATGATGCAGATGTGAGATTTTAAAAATAACAGAATTTTCTAGATCTGATGGATTTACTCATAATTAAAAATAAGTTTTAAAAAATGACAAAACAAAAAGGAGGCTATCATGTAGCTCTGAATTAAGCTATAAATCTCCTTAAAATTAAGTAACTTTTGCCAAGTCATGCTTTCTGTTCCATGACAGATGGGGCCTGATTGAAGCACTGTTTGAAACTCTGAGTGTGGGAGGAGAATTGGATATTTCTTTATTTATCTGCCTTCACCAATTTTTTAAAATCCTAATAAGCTTCATTAGAAAATTGGAAGTGTTTACTATTATTCCCAGTAACTATTAGTTGCTTTTATCATCTTTTGTTAGCTACAATCACAAACACATCAGATAGACACATCATATCAGATAGACATGGTATCAAGCACCATTATCTTGTTCCTTCTTTTCATAGAAATGGCTTTGCTAGTTTATGATTTATAAATATGTGTGAATAGCTTTTTATTGTATCCATATAATGTCTTTGTAATTGTCTAATAAGTTCTTATTAGGAATGACTTAAGAAGTCCAGTTTTTGGAATCTGGTGAAAATCATCTGATTTTCTCCTTTAATATGTTACGAGAAAGTCTCAATAGATTTCCTAGTGCTGGTTGCCTTCCTAGGCCACCACAGACAGTCATATTGTATTACTATTTTTATGATTGGAGAAATGTTGTTAATATTTCACAAGATTTTTTTTTTCCATGAATAAAAGCCAGTTCCGTGAGTTTCTGTTTTGGGTTTACCTTTATCCACTTTTTTTTTTTTTCATTAGTAGTAGCTTCATAAACTCTAGCATGGTTGTGAGTCTCTGTTTAATAATCACAAAAGTGAGCAGTATAAATCAGTGAATATTTAATATCTCATTGAGTTTGTGTGCCAGGAATCTAGAAATGGCTGAGGGGATTGGTTATGGACAAAACCATCCCTGCAGGTGGAAGTAAGACCAAGGCACATTCTGCAGTCTTCCAGTCCTTGACTGTAGCTGGAAGAACCCCTCTCAAGACCAAACCCTGGCAAATGGGCACGTTTAAGCTGGCTGCTTTCTGGAGACCTCTGTCTGGGAAGATCATCTTCAAACATAGCAGCTGGTATTCCCTAGAAAAAGAAATCAGAGTGGAAGAAAGAAGCCACCCAGGCCTTTTGTGACCATAGTTTGGAAGACTTACCTACTCCTTTCGCCACATTCTATTACGGTAAGCACATCTCTCATATCTGGCACACACCAGAGACACTAGGCTCTGCTTTTGTCATAAGGAATGTAAAACATTTATGACCATATTTTAATACCAACACATCTTTTTTTATGTTTAGAATGCTCAGGTGTAGACGGAGAACTGAACAAATTGATCAAGTACCCCAGCCACATGTTGGCAGTGAAAATCTGGGCAAACGAAGACTTTAAGGTGGATTATGTCAGCCAGTGGATTCTGGAGAGATTCCGTCCTGCTTGGAATGGTGAGATTGGCAGAAATTCAGAACTGCTGAACTCTCAAAACCACTTGAGCAGGACCCTTGAAGCATGCCTCACGTCAGGGACCCTGGGATGGGTGGGAGGTTGGGTGGGAATTTTCCCTTTATCTCCGTTTATCTCCCTGCTTCCCCCAGATACAGAAAAATAAAATTGCATTTAAAAAATTTTTATAATAAACTTTTTGATGATGATTTTAAAAAAAGGAATCCTCAGATGTGAAAATTAGTTGTACCTCAGACACTAGATAGAGGGGTAGGTATTTGTTGTTGTGTGGTTGTGGAGTACCGACTTCTAATTCCCTCTTTTCTTCCAATAGCATTCCTGCTAATGTGTGCCTCTTGTTCTCTCTTTGTCAAATAAAATGAGAATAAACTTATATATGTTTAAAGCTCCTTACTTTTCTATAATCCCTATTCCTGTTATTGCCATGTGAGAAATGTCATAGTTTATGGCGGGACAAGCTACTTAGGTGCAGCTGTGCTAGTGTGATGGAAAGACACTCCTTTTGCTAGTTAGCACTGACTGTGCTACCAAAGCAAAGTTCAAGAATTCCCCATCCCCAAAGCAGATCACTACCTCTCCTAAGCCCTCTCTTCTCTAGAGCAAGAGTATAGTAGAACTAGGGAAAAGGGGTTAAAGAGTTGAGGTCACTATATAGGTTGTCCATCTGAATAAAGTACACAAAATATTCATTGCTGATGTAAATATTCAAAAGAATGCATTTGAACAACCATAAAATACAAACACCCATCAAATTAATAGACACCTAACTTAAAGGTACAAATATACCTTTTGCCTTGAAACTATGTGCAGGGAAAAATTAACTTTGTTCTTGGAAAAATCTGGCTTTGGTCCTTACCTGACAAGTGATCTCCAAGCCAGAGCAACGTGCTGCCTGATAGAAGTGTGTTCTCAAGACTACCACGCGGTTTATGGTGGGAGCTTTGTACCCTGTTATATCTGCTCCACTGCTGGAGATGAAAGGTCCATCCTGTGAACAGTCATAACTACGTGACTGAGGCCCAATAAACAAAAGTCTAGACAGGAAATGTGACTGGTTGTCATAATCGGTATGTGTTTTATTGTTTGTCTGCTCAGAGCTGTTAACGTGTTTGAAGCACTCTTATATTTTGCTCCCGTGTCCTCTTCCTCAGCCGCTTTTAGTTTGGATTCTTAGGCTTTAGTAAAGTGTAACCTTGAGTAGAACAGATTTGTAATTCGTTCTAAGTTATTTTATTATTAAATGTTCAAAGTTGAGAGTGGTTTGGAGGCCCCTGAATTCTATAGCTGTTGTTACATGATTAGGGTTGTTTCTTAACTTCCCAATATGTAACAATGTATTTACTACACTCTGTTTTTCTGAAATTGAGATAAATACATTGTTTAGTGAGTTTGTTGGTATCCATATGAGCTGAAGTTTATAGCCTGAAGATTTCCAAAGAATGTGAAACATTGTTAAAGGCCTTGGTGAAAGACAAAAACCTATGAAAGCCATTAGAGCTATCTCTTGACTGAGCATGTTTTAGCCAGTATTTTTAAATCTAAGAGTGACGAAAACATGGGGAATAACACTGGAACAGAGATTTTAGATAGTATAAATATACAAACACATGTTTAAAATCCCTCCTCTTTGTTTAGAAAATATTAATGTTGATGGCAAAATGTACCTAACACATCTTTTTTGTTTGTTTGCTTCTTTATTCAGGGGAGAGATACAGATGCAGAGGAGAAATGAATGCACAGAGTGACTGGAAACATGCATCTGTCTATAGACAATGCAAAGTATGAAAATTCTGAGCTGCCCAAAAATGACTGATGAGTCTCCACCCAGATTCCACTCAGCCTACCCCACTTCATATTGATACATCTACACGAGTAGAACAGCTTTAGCTTGGCCATTTTGTTTTCCAAATGATAAAAAAAAAAAAAAATAGAATTTGCTTTCTGTGTTAGGCTATTTACCACAAAATCCGATTTTGGGAAAAGGATGAATTGGAGAATGGCAGGAAATTTGTAAATGAATTGCTGTGATTAATAAAATCTGCTGAGAATTGGAATTGTGCATACTTTTTTTTTAAGATTTGTTTATCTTTATTGGAAAGTTAGATTTACAGAGAGAAGGTGAGATGGGGAGAAAGATCTCCCATCTGCCAGTTTACTGCCGTGGCCACAGCCACCAGAGCTGATCTGATCAGAAGCCAGGAGCCAGAAGTTTCCTCTAGGTCTCCCACAGATACAGGGTCTAAAAGCTTTGGGCCATTCTCCATCACTACCAGCCAAAACTTTGCTTGCTTTTAATTGAATTAAAATAGCTGAATTTAAAACAAAACAAAAGCATTTAAAAAAAAAAAAGATGTATCTTGCTGGGTTTCAGACACTAAACAATCAACACTTCGTCTTATACAGACCCTACAGATATACTTTTCACTCAAGAAATTTTGTATTTCAACAGATCTGCTCCTAAATAATCACATTGACGGGAAACGGAGGGCATCCATCTCGTAATGCAAGAGCAGGGTAGCCGTTGGATGGTATTCTGAACACAATTACACATAGCATGACCCATCTCCAGTTCTTTTCATTTCCCACCATTTGTCAGTCTGGATCCAATGAGACTGACTTCTACTACATTCGAGTGAGTGAAGTTCCTCTGCCGATCTCCCCAGGACAGTTCACTTCAAGTGTCCTTTCACTTTTCTGGCTGCCAAGAATAGTCTTCTTTCTTAGAGAGCATGGCTTGGGGTGGAAGGAGGGGAGACTGTATTCATTGTTCAATCTAATCTCCCTCCTAAAACCTCCCCGTTCTACACACGTTCCTATCTACACATCCGTCCTATCTACCTACTCACCTACATACATATCTACTTACCCAAAGTAGCAATCCTGAAGGCAAACAAAAACTTTAGCTTAACTGCTATTTGAGAGATCACATCTCACACCGGGCTTAAGGTAAACACAATTAATTGGAAGCTGCTACCAAATTGAGTTTGCATTAAAATCACCAGAAGGAGTTTTTAAAACACAGATTTCTGGAAGTTACCTGCACAGTTTCTGTTAAATCTGGAGGAGGTTTTGGTAATTTGCACTTCTAAATTACCAGGGTGATGTTGACACTGCTAATCAGAGCACCACAAGTGGGGGAAAAAATGTGTTTTAAAAGACATGGAACTTAATTGAAATAAGGTTATCAATAACCACGGAGCTCCATCCCTTCCTCCCCCAAATCACAAAGGACGTAAACTGCAGAGGTCCTGAAAAGAGCAGGGGCACCATCTTCCTGGTATGGCTACGCAGCGGTGAAAAGCGAATCACGCTCCTCCACGCCAGCTCTCAACGGCCCGTGCAGCCACGCCTCTCCATTCCGGCTCGCAAAACACAGTCCCTCCCCAGGCAGGTGCCTGGACTCCCGCCTTGCCCCTGCGCCCCGGAGACAGAGCCCAGCTAAGGCTCAGCCGCGCGCAGCCACTCCGGCTCCCTAAGGGGCAGCCTGGAGGGTGCCGCCATCCAGTCGCCCGCGTCCCTAAACTGCAGGTGGCTGGCCGCTAATGCTTGGTCCCTCTCTAGAAGGCCTTTGTGAAGAGTCTCCAATCCCTTTAAACACAATTCAATGACCGAAAAGCAGAAAAACAGCCTTGCTTGGGCTTTTATCTCTCTCCCCCCTCTCTTTTTTTACATCTCAAAATGAGAAGGAGTGAGGAAGCAGGATTTGTTTGTAGGTCGTCCAGTGTGGATGTGTGTGTGTGTGTGTGTGTGTGTGTGTGTGAGACTGACTATCGTTTTTATTTCCTGATTAACTACATTTTAAAATGTCACCTTCAGATGCATACGGATCAATATACAGTAATCGGCACAGTGCATAGGACCCACAGTTCTTGCAGAAGCTCGCCAAAATATAATGTCTTGCAAAATCAAAAGAAAAAATGAAATTTATAGGGCGAGAGTATTCTAAGATGTAATACTGTTTCTGTAATGTGAATATTGCTGTTACTGTTGTTATTAAGTAGAGAAAGGAATCCACAAAATCTTAATGCCTAGAGGCCAAGAAAGACACCGCAGCTAAAGGCGAATTAAGCCACTACTTCTGAGTTCTTTTTATTTACATTTTTTTAAAAGCCCAGACACATTCTTAGTGCTTGGTAGATGTTAACTCATTTAGTCCTAACATGGCTATATACTGTCATGCAGTTTCGCCTTAGCCCTTGAATATAGTGATGCCAGTGTCACACACATTAACACCAGCAGAGGGCGGTCTACCCAAGCTGAATTAGCTCCAGGCTCCCTCAAACAATGCATTGTCTTATCTTGGTGAGTCTTAGAGACTGATATAGAGGCCTCAATTATCTAAATCTTCCCCTTCCAAGTGCCGACATACCACATGGACATCGGTTCATATTCCGGCTGCTCCAGTTCCCATCCGGCTTCCTCCTTATGGCCTGGGAAACAGTAGAGGATGGCGCAAGTCCTTGGAACCCTGCACCTACCTGGGAGTCCCAGAGGGGGATTCTGGCTCCTGGCTTGGGTTTAGCTCAGCTCTGGCTGTGGTGGCTATTTGGGGTGTGAACCAATGGATGGAAGATCTTTCTCTCTCTCTCCTTTCTGAGACAAGGCCTTGCTTTTCACAAGACCAGTGAGCTTTGCTTTGTTCTCGCTGCAATAATAATACTGCATAGGCATTCCTCTCACTGTTCCACATACACACCCACTCAACTACCATTTCCCCATCTTCAGTGAAGTCTCCTCACCACCCTCATTCCATAAATGCAGGCAAACCCCCTAGTCTGTATTGCAGGTGTTCAACCAGATTTCTTTTGATAACCGTGGGAGCTGAGCATTAAACCAGGGAACTGTTTTATCTGTCTGTACCTGCACATCGCCAAAGACTTAACTATCATATATATATGCATCTCTGTGAATATTATTGAAGCCCACAACTGTTCTTT